TTAATGTGCGCCCCTGAACCGATGAAAAACATGCATGAAACTAAACTTTCTTTTTCAGCTTTGCCAGAGGATTATTTATAAAATCTACCATATCCCCCCACTGTTTTAATCTTGAGTGAGTGAGTGAATAAGTGTGTGAAGTATCAAAGTCTCAAATTCACCTCCACTTCTTCAGCAATCCATATTGTTTCCTCTCATGGGAAATAAACATTTCCCTTGAGGCAGGTACAGGGGGCGACACTAAACCTGGCAAAGTCAGAGTGTATGAAAGTCAGCATTCCAGTGCGTAAAATATCCTTTAGGTTTCCTGAGAATGTTAGGTACAAATGTTTCTTGAAATATTAAGAAAATAATACTTTTAAGTGGGGGACATTAGTTCATCGTTCTCATAGTGACTGAATCTCCTTTACATTTATTTTACATTTGAAACGTCTCCCACAGTTTCGTCCCGGCCTCTTCAAACACACAAGCGCAGTCACTCACATATCGTTAATTTGTCCCGACTTGATCCCTGCATGTTTAACGGAAACACAAACGTGTGAAGCGGCGGCTCATCGAAACAACCTGTTTATCTCGGTGTCAACAAAGGACTACATGTTTCTTAATGATGGGCAGCCCTGTAAGCACCCCTGCAGTCATTGCTATGGTAATGTGCAGGTGGAGAACTGGAAGAGAATAGCAGACAGGACAAGGAGAGAAAAATAGACTAAGAAATAAAAGTTTTTGAGTCGTCAGATTTGCGTGAACAGTCTAGTTTTCTACATAGCACAGTTTCACAACAGTACGAATATATCATATAAGTCCATATATATGTCTTAGATCAGAGCAGGGCCGTAGCTGCTTATGAGGTTCCCCCATTTAGGGGGGGTGCTAATGGCATTTTTATTTATTCATATGTTGGATTAAAAGTGATCATATTAAAAAGTGTTTGATAAAAATATGCTGGAAAAAACAAACAAATATAATGATTTGTGTTTGATAGTTTTTCCTTATTTGGTCTATATTAACAAGGTTTTCTGACTGTTTCTGTCTTTTGTCACCATCATCAAAATAATGAAGTTAATAGAAAAGAAATTTGGTTGGTTTAGTAACTAGTCCTACAGAGAAAAAAAAGCTTTGGTTTGATTTTCTAAATTGTGAAAACTGCTACAAAGCCAAATAAACGAATGCAAACATTGTCTGTCTCTCTGTGCTCCTGCAGGTGTTGTGACAGGCAGCGTCCTGCAGCTCTCTGCCTTTATACGCCGTTATTTTTAAACCTGCTGGGCTTACGCAGAAGAAATTCCGGTTCTGTCTACGAGCCAAGTGGAAATGGACTCTGTTTCCTGAGGAAAAGCTCGACACTCGCTTCCTCTACTTTCACTCCAGCGCAGATCTGCAGTCACCTCTAAGTGCTCAGCTGAGGATATGGACATGGAGCTGCTCACCCGCTGACACTTTCATCATTTCTATAATATTTATTTAGGAAATTTTATGTTTGGCTTACAATAGTGGTTTTACTTTGAGATATATTCTGTGTCTTCTTTGTCCTTTAGTTGTGCAATAATGAGCCAGTTGGGAGATTTTTTGTCCACATACTAAAATATATAGAGCCAACTGACAAATACTATGATCTCCCCCGCAGAGAAAACTACTATTCCCTATCTTGTCCCATCAAAGGTATTATCAAACTCAAGTCATGTAAAAACCAACTAGCCAAGAATAGAGACTGATACAGATAAAGAACTGCCCTGGGCTCAGGTTTCTCCTTTTGTGACTCTCTTTTCTGAAAGGGAGGAAGTCTTTCAGCTCAAGTGTTTTCTAAACACAATTACTTAAGATTACAGTTAAGCAGACAGACAGAGACAGCTAAGGCAACTCATCCTGGGTACACTGAAATGTTTTCCAAGTAAAGATAAAAAAATGTGGTTTATCTTGCTTGATTGTTTGTTTCTAAGTTTAAAAGCATTCTTTTTTTTTCTTGGAATATTCTATTTTTTGTTCACTAAAGCACCGTTCCATTACCTAGACTGGTGTCTAACACTTCACAAAAATATATGTCATTCTGCTTCATTCACCTTTATTTCAAAACCTTTTTGTTGTGGAAGGAGATGATTTGCATTAACATTTTAGGCCCCATTTGAACCTGGCATGAACATAAATCTTGGTTGACCCGATCACAAGTGGACAGCTCTAAATACAGGTGTGAATGCATCCAAGAAGCACTGAGATCCGATCGCTCAGACCATATTTGACACATATGGCCATGCTTTTTCAGCAGCCTGTAAGCATATGCGAATGTGTCCTGGACCACAGTGAAACATGCTGTCTGATTTCCATTTGGTTCACTGTAATGCAAATGCTACGTTTGGGCTCTCCTACCTGCCGAGATAAGCAGCAGATGTTTGTGAACACACTGTCTGTTTCAACTGATTTCACCATTTAAGTAGTAACTGCAAATGTTAATGTTGTTAATATCAGGCGTAAACAGGGCATTTTTTCTTCGGGTACTCCGTCTTTATGGCTGCTGTGTTAACTTCTCACAGCTCTCCAGTTGTCATATACTTTGATGCTCAGAACAAATGCAGGAATTGTCACAGTAGCATATCAGGAACCTAGAACTGTTTTTTACCATGCTAATGTGTGTAGGCTTGCTCAGGCAAATGTACAGTACAATCACTGTCATTCTCTCATTTAGAGACGCACACATTGTTTTTGTGCTCCCCTCCAAACAGTAGCATTGCTCAGCATTGCCAGGAGCAATGTACTTCAATATGGGGACAGAGACAAACACGCACACCAACAGCAATTATCCTCCATCACCCACAAAGTGAGGGGAAACCCAGCTGCTATCTTAGATAAATATGCTGCCTTGCATGGCATGAAACAGCAACAAAGTGTTTAGAGAGAAAAAAAAAAACTAAAACTACAGTGTGGAGACGGGCCAGTTACCTTCTAGAGAGATATCAAAAGGAGGTGGGGAGGAGAGGAAGTAAGAACAAATGCAAACTGATGAGAAAAATCATGGGAAAAAAAGAACAGCAATAACATGGGCCTGAGGCCTTGTAATCAGTAATTCTGCTCTTCCTGAGGCCAGAGTTTGACGCCTGTTGGGTCAAACAGTCTGACTGCAAGGGTGGAAGACTCTTCATGTGTGACCAGGGTGGACTGGGTTAGATGGGATGTTGATGTTGATGGCTGTAGGATTTACAGGCTTAAAAGTTACAGGTTTCCAGTTGGCAAACACATTAGATCTAGTCAACATGCACAAAATACTGCACCTTATATATTCATAAATGACACGTACTATAGATAAAATAATGGGCCATACTGATATATTAAGTACATTTCATGATATAGCTGCATAATAATGATTTATGTCACACATAGCAATAGTCTTTATATCGTGTTTGAAATCTGGGGAAACCCTGACAAAAATATCAAAAACATCCAAATGAAATCATGTGGCTATTACATGATGCTATTTACATAACTTGCGATACCAGACAAAATACCATTGCCCTGCCAAAGTGTTTAGCTACCAGTGGTGCTAAATGGTTTAGCCTCCTTCAGTAAGTAAAGCTCATGGTGACTAAATGGTTTAGTAGCCTTTAGCGCTAATGAAGTCATTAGCAGCTAGCTGTTAGCCTAATGAGATCAGGGTGCCACATACTTAGCAGTCCTTAGCATGTTGGTTGATTTACGCATCTTGTGTGTGTGATCAGGATCAGAAGTAATTAAGAGCTGGAATGGTAATGATGACCCACTGAGTAAATAGAGACAAAGAGATAAATATTCATGACTGTTTGTACACTCTCAAAAGTCACTTCATCATTTCCTTCCTTCATCTTAGTCCCTGGTGAGTCTGAGCCTTTGTCACTGCGGATACTTTTAGTCTCTAGCCATTTAAAAGCTTTTTATTTTCATAGATCACTTAAATTAGCTCAACATTCAAAATCAAATCAACTCAAATCCCGACCTGTTACAGTATGTGCTATACCTTCTGGGTAAGTTTCACACATTGTCCTCGGATAGTCTCAGTAACAATACCAACTCTTGTTGCTCTTCAGTTAAAATTGGTTTCAAGAGAATTGATCGGTACTTTTTATGCTTTATTTGTAGCATCAGAAAACATCCTGGGCAGCACAGGGCCTTGTTGCCACATAATCAAAAACTTCTTTTAGTAATGAATGAACAAACCCGATTGTGTGCTGTACTCCACTGGTGACAGCACACATCCAGAAAAGTTGTACTTAAACAATGGTATTATATGTATTTAATATTTACTGTGCTCTTACACTGTACAACATATTTTTTGTTGTCTAAGGATGTTTAGATTGTTTAAGCACAGAGAGCCGATAGAGGGTATCAGAATGGCTGTGAAATGCCACTTTAGCTGGGGGTCTTTTAATTAGAACATAAACCTGTCGAGGGGTTTAAATACCTAGGAGTTAAGTTATACAAAATGTAAGTATATGGCAATTAAATTTAGGGATGCAACCCTGAAAAAGTATTATGATCAAATGTTTTTTATTATGCTACTCTCTACAATATACTCACTTGTTGGTCTTTGCTAATACTTAGAACTTCTTTGTGTATTTGGCTGAAGAACACTGAATCTGAGTTTTTTTTGCAACTAAAATACCAACTTAAACAGCTGTTACTCTACCTGATCTAGCACTTCCAAGTGTACTGAAAAGAACCAGTCTCACTTCTTTCTGTCTCGGTTTCAGCTCTTTATTTCTTCATATTAGCCTGTAGCAAGAGCTGAGAGTCTGCCGAGTCCCTGCTCATTACCTTTAGGCCCATTTACCTGTTTCACCTG